GCGGGCGTGACGGTGGTCATGACCTAGCCGAAAGAAAAAAGGTCGCACTGGAGGTGAACCGATTCGTTGGCCATACAATAATAAGGCGTGTGATGAAGGATCATTATGACAGCGAAGGCACCGGTGGCAACCTAGACCCTCGCCCCAAAGTGTGGTGACGTATTAAGCAGTACATACATGGTTAATACTGATGTGTAGGAGCATATCCGTATGCCCTCCCTTGCTCGACTCTCATACGACTGCTGGGGAGTTTCAGTTTCCAACACACACACGACTCGTGAGCACAACCGATCAAGAGGATATGCGCACATGCACACATCCACCAGGTGTGCGCCAACGCGTCTCTCATCCACTTCCGGTTTACCAGCTGCTAAATCGATGGTGCAGGCCTACCCTTCGACAAATGCAGACCTATCATTCGACACGACATGAGCTGCTGGCGCTACACCAGCTGCGTACAGCAGAAACACCGCCGCCAATGAGAGTCCTCTTCCGATGGCGGGCTTGTAGTGTACCGCTGATTCAGGAGCATACACAACACGCTGCTGTGGATATATTTGGGGCAAAAGCTGTGTTGAGCCTCAACCACTATTGCGGAGCAATACAGCAGAACTACGCAATACAGCAGTACCACGCAATACAGCAGTACCACGCAATTCAGCAGTACCACGCAATTCAGCAGTACCACACAACAGTCTGCACACCTGTCCCACACTTTGTTGTACGTCGGTGAACAGGTCCTGCGCTGCAGGGCAAGTCGAACAACAGTGGAACATCAGTAGCACTTCACTGTCAGCAGTAGCAGTAAAGCAGACATGACATGACCACGTTAACCGAACCGTTTGTTTCCTGATGCAACATGAGCACAGTGTGTCGGCAACATGTCTTGGTGACACCGACTTTGCAGGAGGATGCTCATCGCTGTCATGTCGTCATTTCATAACCGATTGCTGCCCAAAGCCGGGCGTGCTTTATTACCACACACCTGCTTAGCCTCACCAAGCTGCGCACAGCCTAGTAGACTTCTGTTGAACAGCTTTGTGGGTGCTACCTAGTTGATGGATCACGACCCTGTCAAGGCAGCGCACCGTGATGGCCTGTCTGTCCTGTCAAAAGACATCACAACCTTGAAAACATGTATTTGTGCTGAGCGGACCAGACCCAGCACCCTGCATCCGGCGTTGCGCATATCGTGTTGAACAGCAGACCATAGCGGCGCAGAGGGTGGGATAAGCATTCGAAACGTGCCTCTCTGTGGGCGGTGGTCAGTTGTGTCTCACGTTGTGTCGCAAAGCGTTCGTTTTCTAACCTCTATTCAGACTTGCTCTGCCCATGACCTCGAACGTCAGCCACTCCTGCTAGATCATTATGTCGTTGTCCTTGAGCCACTTGTAGAATCCTGAGCCACTTGTAGAATCCTGGGACAGCGATGTCCTTGTAGCCCTTCGCCGCTGCCTTGTGCTTCGCCTCCATGCTGACGATCCCGGCGTTCCGCTTGACCGCCAAGCAAGCGTACACGATGCACACGCTCTGGAGGTGCTTGAGAAGCTTGATCTTCGAGAGGCCGTTGCCGCCCCCCAGGAGCAAATCCAACGTGCCCTCGACATACCCGTTGAGTTCCAGCGGTAGACGCTGAACGTGGTCTATTTTCATAACATCCATGGTATGCGGTGGCTCGTGGGGTGTGTGCGGTGTGGGTACGCGTGGTGTACTGATATAGCTTGTGTGCGTGTGCGAGAGAGAAGCGGCGCGAACTGCAAGAATTCAAATATCATTCGCGCGCGCACGCCAAACGCCTCCGAGAATAGTCGAACACCTCGTTTTTGGAAAAAGACAGCGTAAGTACGACGTGGGTTGTCGTTTTGCCATAACTTTTTTTGGGTGGTCCCTTTCTGAAAAAAGCGACAGCCTAAAAAAATAACACGTAACAAGTGGCCTTACGATCGATCTACATACATAAATAAATACATTGCATCCTCTTCGATCAGAGTTGGAAGTCGAGTTCCAAGTGTTCTTTCATGCTTGTGGAGGTTTCCTTAAAGTCATTTCGTTCTTGGCAGAGTAGTACTTTGCGTTGTAGTGCCCGCATGGGCGTCGTTGGAAAACAAAAAAGCTGGCAGGCACGTGTTTGCTTTGCCTTTTATGTGGTCTATAGGGACTGATCGGCGTAGATACTTCAGTCGTTCCTGGCGGTGTTGTTCGGCTTTACTTCGCATGTTTTTTTTTTCCTGCAGCCGTCACGTCGTTATCCGGATGGTGTATAGTAGAGCATCTCCACGAAAAATTTCCTCTGTGGGCAAGCCTTCATCACCTTTATATACAGATACCCGTGCGTTCAAACCACACATAAACTCATGCGGCGGTTCTTCGCCTTTCCACACTCTTACTCGCGCACGGGAACAATTTCTCATCTGCTTTCGTGGTCTTCATGTTTATCTATCTCCCTTTTCACCGGCGTCGTATATTCTCGTGGGCGATTCGGGCCCCCGCGTCGACTGGGGGCACGGGGGGGCATACAGTACCCTAGTAACGATGGTTTCGGCCTCCTGCTTACCGCTTTGCCTGTTTGCCATTTCCTGCCTCTCTCTCAGTACCCGGCCGTTCCCTTCGCTGTCAAGAAACATGTTCTAACTTTGGCACTCTCCGACAAACATCAAGCGGTTAGGATGCCTAGACTAGCGTACGAAGCGGTGGTCACTGCTGGTGAAATGAAAACGACATCGAAAGAGTAGAATAGCTCGCATCCACGCGTAGAGTTTATCCAGCACACTCACGTGCGCAAACATGTGAGACTGATTGAGATGCATGAGTGCATGAGGGAAGGCACGGCATGTTTAGCCATGCTGCTCGGCAGGTGTGTGGAGAATGATGCCGTCGGCATGTTGACGTGAAGAAAATTGCCACGCCATCCTAGCCGTCACTCTCGGCTCGCTCTCCTCCCTACACTCCTCTGCCGTTGCTCTGTGCTGTTTGCACTTTTTCGATCGCTGCGGTGCTCAGCTTGGCTCGGGCAAGGTAGGAGCAACGCAACTGCTATCCACCGAGGGGTATTTCTCCTGTCCATGCTCCCCCCGTTGGCAAGCTTGGTTAGAATCTTTGGCTGAGATTTGGCTTGCGCAAGTATTGCCGGCAAGATTGTGAACACTTCGCACTATCCCAGGTGTTGGATGACGTTGCTGGCCGTCAAGTCGAGGTTGCATGGAATTTCACAACCCCGTTCGCAAGGTTATTGGTTACCCGCACCCCAAACCCTTCCGTGTACCAGTGGCCACCCGTGCTGCGCTGGAACGGGCAGTAATACGATAACTACCCCTAACGCCGGCACGATGCGTGCTAGGTTGGCGCTGAGTGGCTAACTTCTAGGTTGATGTGCAGGTGGCTAGGTTGGAGGTTTATGTGGAGGTGGCGAAGGTTTAGGTTAAAGTGCCACAAAATCACATTATTAACCATCAACGCAGGATTCTCCCAAGATCTACTCGCTGTACTGGTCTTTCGGGTTTTCGGATAAGCCCAAACGTTTCACCGCAAATATTCCGACAGTCTCTCTGATGTACAGTACTCATGCATAGAAAATGCATATCCCCAAAACTTTTGAACCAATTTTCCCAACATTGACCGTGAACCCCACGCGCCAGCGGGGCCAACCGAGCTCTGGGCACGAGCATCCATATACCCACATGCCTCCTGGATGCCCCTGAGAAGGAATCGCGAGAAAAGCCTTGGTGTCGCGTTAGGAAGAAATGGCGAAGCATGAAAGTAACCACAAATCTCATGAAGTACGTAAATATTTGCACCTTTCCTTCACAAAAATAAACAACTGTGGCAAAAGAGCCCTTTCTTAAGGTGTACCACACAATTAATTCAAGTTTTGGACATCCCATCCTGGCTTCTTTTCAGCAAATTTCGGACAGGATTGAGCTCTGTCACAACCACAAACTTGAAACTGTCTGCGCTTGATCCCCGCAACCTCGTCACACGAGTTGAATCATGTGACTGGTACTGAGTCGGTAGCACCGACTGCAGCCGTAATTTGTTTTCGGGCTGGACCAGGTGGACAATCCGATGCGTGCGGCATGTTTGCAGTAACCAAGCCGAGGAGGCCTAAACGCAGCAGCGGTGGGTCATTTTTTGTGTACTGTCAACTTTCGGAACCCAGCCTCTGGGCGTCCTTAATCTCTTAGTTGGTGTCAACCATCACACCAGGCGAGCAAAACGCACAGCTCGTGGCGCATACGTCTGTGATCGCGGTTGCTTAAGCGGGTGGCGAGGGAGTACCGGTGAACCAAAGTTGCGACACGGACAAAAGAGCAAAACAAGCTGGTTTTTGGCACGGGTTTCTTGTATTCAGCGTGCCGTTGACTCTCGCCACCTCAGTTTCCGTGCCTCCTATCGCCCCGTGGTCTCCATCTGACGGACCGTACACACAACTCGCGAGGGGTAGCTGTACAGTTGGTGCTGCTTCACTCTGTGATGAGATACCCTCGAAGAACCAATTAGGTGGGAAGGTACTTGTATGTGCCACAGTGAAGCCGTTGCCGAGAGTCTCGTATGAGCAAATGACCGACCGGAACCGTAAGGAAGTGGGCCATCTTTTTTGTAGACCACTTATTGGGTCGTGCACAAACCGCCGCACACGCAACCACCACTCGCACACACGGCACTTCGCTGACACGCGCGCGGTCTCGCTATGGCTACCCGCCCCAATCCTTAAATCTAGGTTTATAGACAGACGTTGAAGAAAGTGCCTTAATACTTTCATGTACAGTTGAAACTGCTTGAGATGACCGTACTGCCTCCCTCTGTTTTTCGTACTGCCTCTTTCTGTTTTTTGTGTTGACTCTTTCGGACGTAACACAGTGTGACGTCACGCGTGTGACCGTTACCTATTTTTTGTCTGCTCACGCAACATTCGTTTCAGACGTGCAGGCACTCATGCGTCGCCTGTGCAGGACCACGAAATCGCGCTGCCAAGCAAACCTCTTGGAATATCGTGAGCCATCGAACTGAAGATCTCTATTGCTACCTTGCTACATAGTTGACTAATTCGTTTGTCGCGCCCAAATTATAAGAAAGAGGCACACCACATTTGACTGCTAATTGGCTCCGGTGGCAAGCGTTCTGGACAACACAACATCGATCACCCTCTCACACTCAGGTCACGGGGTTGCAAACGCCGATCGCGACAGAACCCTCTACATACGCCCTACCTCTGAACTATTTGTCTCGATGTCCGATGGCCTGTGGTGCTGACAGGGGTAGTGAGACTGCTGCGCGGCGCCCGAGCAAATTTCTTCGGAGCAGTTGGGTATCTGTTGGTCGTTGGAAATATTCAAGCATCATCACAACAGAAAGGTGTGTTTGCGAGGTGTTGTGGAAATACTTGGCTAGTAGGAATTTGGGCTCCAGGAATTTGTCATTCTCCTGCGCTGAGAAAACCACGCACCCCTCCCTTTTGTAAGCCAGCTGGCAAAACGACTATAGGATTCAGTTGAGGCCGGGATCACCCCCGGGCTATTGTTCGAAATGTTCGCTGAATAGTTCCTACTTGGTGGGCGAATCCTTGTAGCGGTACCGAGAGAGTCAATGATAGTAGTTTCGGATCATTTTTCCTTTCGCTCTCATTTCTAACACACAGTTTTAACTTTCAACCATTGTGACCGTGCCTCCCACCCTGCGGAGATCAAATTCGTACCTAATACGAAGGGTGGGACCTGGCCCGTCAGCAGTGGCACTGTCGAATTCGGCGATATTGCGGGTTACGAAGGCATGCCACATGATCTGAACCTGAAGCTGCTGCTGGGGCTGCTTCTGTTGGCTTCCTGCTTGTCAGTTAGGGCATGGACACGGGTTCCTGACCTGCAGGTGACGGCACGCTATCCTCCAGCGTGTTTGGCGTTGCTATTTTCGTCAGGTCACATTTCGCGAATTAGACTACATATTTGAATCATAATCTACCCGACTATACCTCAAGGCAATGTGCGCTATCTGGTACGATTTTCGGTTTGGCAAAAGAACAGAGATACTGATCTAGCCGCGCGTGTTTCCATCCTACCATCATCACTGCTACGCGCAGTAGGATCGATCGCCTCACCCAATGGTTGTCCAAATTATTTATCGTCCTTATCGGCAGCGGGAACCGTCCGAGGCGCACCAGGACGCAAACCAATGGGAAGAAGCCGTGCTCCAGCTAGATGGGCGAACCGGCCGAGGTGTGCATTCCGATTTCAGAATACATCAATAGTATCTGCAAGGGTGTGTTTAGTCGAGGGAATGCCATACGCATGCTCAAGGTCATATTTTGTGAGAAAAAGGGGTTCCGTCCGCCTGCCTGGGGGCACAGCTTAAAACCCCACACAGAAGCGAGAGCACGCCCTTATCAGGAGAACACACCAACGAGTGCCCGAGGTAGAGACAAGTCGAGATGGAAATGATGTTGTTCCCCGGAGATAAGCAGGGGGAGGATAGTCTATCACTAGAGTCTCTGCTGTTTCTCACGATGTTCCGCTGCTACGTGTGTTGCTGCTACTTTCGTGTAGCGCGTGAGTAGGTTTTTACCATGCGACTTGTTGCCTTGATGGCGTCCCCCCTCACCAAAACTCTTGCGCCTGACAACTCGCCATTCCTCCTCGCTCACGATCTCCACCACTAATCCACCCGCAGGG